GATAAACATAGCTGTGCTGGTAGCTTTAATATGGCCTCATTTGAGATCGTTTGGGTACATGCCCAAAAGTGGAATTTGCTGCGTCATAGGGGAGCTCTATGTGGAGTCTTTTGAGGAACCTCCATACTGCTTTCCAAAGTGGTTGAACAAGTTTACACTCCCACCAACAATGCAGTAAGGTTCCCTTCTAGCCACATCCCCTCCAGCATCTGTTGTTATTAGAGTTCTTGAGTATAGCCATTCTAACTAGGGTGAGGTGGAATCTCAGTGTTGTTTTGATTTGCATTTCTTTTATGGCTAGAGAGGTTGAGCATTTCATGTGTCTATTGGCTAGTCTTATTTCCTCTTCAGAGAAGTTTCTCTTTAAGTCTTTAGCTCACTTATTTATCCAGCAATTGTTTAACATCTTAAACTATAGCCTTTTACCTCTAGATCCTAAAAGGCTCCTATCTATCTCATAATGCAAAATGCATTTGGTCAGTCTATCTCCCAGAGCCCTCTTTAATAACTCCAATGTTTTCAAAAGTTCCAGTCTAATAGGACACCAATGGCTCATGCTTTAAATCCTAGTTCATACTTTAAATCTGGAGGATTCTGGTTCAAAGCTAGCTTGAGTAGAAAAATCCATGAGATTCCATCTCTCATTAACCAGAAAAAAGCAGGGCTAGAGGAGGGGCCCAGTGGTAGAATGCCAGCTGTGAGCAAGAAAGCTGAGATTACAAGGCCCTGAGTTGAAGCCCTGGTACTACCAAAAAAAAAAAAAAAGTTCAAAGTTATACAATGACTCAAGGCAATCTCTTTTTTTTTTTTTTTTAATTTTATTTTATTTTATTTGAGAACATACTGTACAGAGGGGTTACAATTACATGGGCAGGATAATGCATACATTTCTTACCAAGCATTGCAGCCTCCTCCTTTGTTTACCCTTCACCTCCCTTCCCAGCCTCCCCCCTCCCCCCCACCCAGTCATACCCCCCCTCCCCCCCCCCACCAACATTGTAAAGCTGGTTTTGACATGACATTTTGTACTTCTCATTGTTGCAACAGGTCCACCTGAATCCTTAAACGACTTGTTTGTCCCCATCTCCTCCACATGTTATACTGACATCAAATATAGTGAAAGCGGGGGTTACACTGTGGGGGAGGGACATACAAAGCAACAAAGAAATAATCTTATAAATGCGTTAGAAACACATGCATGAAAGAAACAAAAACATTAAAATACATATTTGAGGGTTCGTTTTCCTAACATCACATTCTCTGACTTTTTCCGCTTGACTCATACCTATACTAGATATTGCAAATAAGGGAAACCATGGGACCTATGTTTCTTTGGGCCTGGCTTACTTCACTTAATATAATTTTTTCCAAGTCAAGGCAATCTCTTAACTGTGAATCCCTACAAAGGTAAAAATTATATATTTTCAATGTATAATAATACATTTTCCATTTTCAATGTATAATAACACATTGTATTCCTATTCCAAATGGAGGCATGGATATAGAAAGGCATGATTAGAACAAAACAAGACAGAAACCCATCGGAGCATCATGTCTTACATCTCAGTCACAAGGTGATATGATAAGTAAGAGTTCCACCAGGCTTTGGCAGTTTTATCCACATTATTTGGCCAACTATAGCCCACGTCTTCTCTCTTGGACGGGTTCTGTTCATTGCCTACAAACATTGCACATTTCTGGCACTCCAGCTTCCTGGCATCTCCACAGCACCTTCGACTTCACCCTCACAGCGTCCCACATTGCTTTCTCAGGGGAGACCTGTAGGGATCTTGACCCTGCCACACACTTGCCTAAACTCACAGACTTTCCTTTCAAACCTGGATTGAAGCTCCCATGACCCTGGAACTCTTGTATTCTGCATGTCTGAAAAATTGGCAAAACATTTACAACACCAAGGTCCGCATCCAACTTAAGTACATGGATGACTTAACAAGTGGAAACATTTTCCTACCTACTTTCCTATGAGGCCCTGTGTGAGCTGGGCTCACTCTCAAAGTCTTCGTAATGAGTTTACTCTTTCATACCCTTGAGCCTAGGCAATCCTGGGATACCCTTAAGGCATCTTTAGCTCTACACACACACACACACACACACACACACACACACACACACACACACACACACACACACACACACACACACACACACACACACACACACACACACACACACACACACACACACACACACACACACACACACACACACACACACACACACACACACCATATACATGGCTTTTGCTAGCTCTACACACACACACCATATACATGGCTTTTGCTAGCTCTACACACACACACACACACACACACCATATACATGGCTTTTGCTAGTTCAAGGGCTTGAAACTCAGGAGCCTTGCTTACTCTGCTTTCCTGCTTATGGTTTGAGACATGTTTTCAGGTTATTTTGCTGGTTATTTTTTATTATTTTAAAGATACTGTGCAGAGGGGTTATAGTTTCATGAGTAAGGTAATATTTCCTATTGAGCATTGTTACCCCCTCCTTTGTTTTTCTCCTACTGTCCCTTCCCTTTCCACTCCCCAACTCCTCCCCCACCCAAGTTGTAAAGTTCGTTTTTAACATAGTGTTTTGTACGTCTCATTGTTACAGTGGGTCAACCTGTATCCTTATTACAGCATTTTATTTCTCTTCCCCTCCCCAAATTAGAAAAATATACAAGATGCAGGGTACCTGAATCAAACACAGTGACAACAAGGGTTATACCATAGGGGAAAGAACATACAAAAGAAACCAAAGAAAGTCACATAGTACATTAAAAACAACAGAAACAAAGAAAAAAACCTCTTGTGTCCATATCTTGGGGTTCATTTTGCTTAGCATCATCTTATATGTTAATATTAAGATTCAGCCTCAGGGACTTGTCTGCAGGGTTTGAATTCAAACCATGATCCTGTAGATCTCAGTCTCCTAAGTAGGATTAAAGGTGTGAGCCTGCAATCAAGCCAGCTTGACTTTTGTGTGTGTGAGCATGAGAGTACGTGCCATTCCTAAGGCTTTAACTCAGGGCTTGGGCACTGTCCTTGAGCTTTCTGTACTCATGTCCAGTGCTCTAACACTTGAGTCACAGCTCTGCTTCCAGCTTTTTGGCGGTTAATTGGAGATAAAAAGTCTCACCTTCCCTGCTTAGCTTTGAACTGCAATCCTCACATCTCAGCCTCCTCTGTATCTAGGGTTATAGGTGTGAGCCACCTACACCCAGCTTGACTTCTTTTTAATGGTTGATCACTTCAGAAACATGTGTTTCTTAATCCCTAATTTTATACAGGCTTTTCGGACCAAATTGAAAGTTTTTCAGGTTTTTCTGTGTAGCCCCTTGTGCCTAACTTTTACTATAAACTTAAAGCAATAAACATTCCACAGCCTGAATACTGGACCATCTTGAAATTTCCTCTTCCAGATTAATTAATCCGTCAACTTTAAACTCAATTTCTCTTTAAAGTGTCTGGGCATGTACAAAATGTAGCTAGGTTCTTTGCCATCATGTAAGACAGCCTCTAGTTCAATTTCCAGCATTCCTATTTCCATCTGAAACCTCGTGAGTACAGTTTTTACTACCTATATTCTAGTCTGCTGAGCTCTCAAGAAAATTACCATGAACCTCCGCTTGTTGCATCCTCGGTTTCTCCAGCCATTTCTCCAAATGTTTCCAGATTTTTCTTGTATAACTGTTCCCTAAGTTTATGAACCACATGATCAGATTTAATCATAGCAGTGATCCTAGCACCAATTTTCCCTATAGTCATACTTTTATCACTTTGACAAAATATGTGAGAGAGAATGCTTGCTCTTAAGGGTTCTCTCCTTATTCCCTTTTATTCCATCTTCTGGACACTTCTCAGTACAATCAATTTGACAGTCAAGATTAATCTTTTCACTGGAAAAGATAAGAGAACGGGTTGTCTCTCTAGATCCTCCTGGAATTAGCAACTGTACTGATACCTTGATGTTATCCCATTTCATACTTCTGACCGCCAGAGGTAGAAGATAATGAAGTTGTGTTGTTTTAAGCCACAAACTTTGTCGACATCTGTTGTAGCACTAGGAAGCTAATATAGCAGGGCTTACAAAAAGGAAGACGTGACATTACTTTTTATCACACAGGGAACACGATACACAATTGCAGCTTCCTTTTTAGATATTAAAAGCTGTTGTTCTGCTCAAAATGCAAATCAAATCACATTTTTTAAATCTCTCCTACTTCTTAAATTACTTGCTACTTCTTGCCACCTCAAGTCCTTCACAGAGCTCAAAACTGCCTAATTTAACTAGAGAGGAATCTGTATCTTAATTAAAGTGCATCTGTGAATCTGGTAAAAAAAAAAAATGGATTCAGAGAAGAAAAAGAAACTGTGCACTTATAATTAGGATATATTTGACCTCATGGATTTGAGTGATAATTTATTCATTATCCTCAGTGTGGCCAAGTCTATGCCAAGCAAAGTTTTAAAATTAACAATACTTATGATGTAACTCCTGGTACAAAACTTAATTGGCATGGAGGAAATTATTTCTAGCTGGCTCTTGCATGCAATTACTAATACCTACAGGTGTCTTTATTCAACAATAATAATAATAATGGCAGTCACTTAAGAGCACTTATTATACCAGTGCTGACCTTACTGTTTAGCATTCTGCATCACATTCAGTCTTACCCAGAATTGCTGCCTTTTTCTATTGAGTTATTCCTTCCATTGTTTACCCCTTAGTTTTATCCCTGTTCTACCATTTCTGATAATTCCTAAAATATGGAAAGTTAAAATTTAAGTGAATGTTTGAGAACTTCTAACTTTGAATTACAGGAGAAAGGAAGAACAGCTACTTTATTCACAAGTATATTCCTGAGAAATCAGAGGCACTAAGCTTAATTGCACACAATTAACACTAATTATGTGTTAGCATCCCTAGTCTAGGAATGTTCTGCAGTCAAACTTACTCTTGCTTATTTATGTCTTTAGGAACCATACTACGTACGTTGCATCAAACCCAATGACAAGAAATCCCCACAGATATTTGATGATGAACGCTGCCGTCATCAAGTAGAATATCTTGGACTACTGGAAAATGTGAGAGTGCGTCGAGCAGGATTTGCCTTTCGTCAGACCTATGAGAAGTTTCTTCACAGGTGAGGATAAACTCAGTAGAGAAGCCTAACAACAGCCCACAGAAATCCATGTTGAGTCATGGCGTCCTCCTGGAAGATGGCAGGGCATCAGCACATAGTAGGCCATCTGTAAATATCTATTATGTGAACGAAAGTCAAGGAAATTGCAAATAATAATTGCAAAAATTGCAAAATTTTCCAGAATCACCAAGAGCCCTGAGTTTGTATTTTACAGACTAAGGAAAAAACTTCAAGTCATTTAAGGGAAGATGTGGGCCTCATAGTACAATAGAACATGACTGTGGATTCACATCTGTGTTGGAATCTCTGCAATGCTACTTATCTGCTACACAATCTTAGGCCAGAAGTTTTTTTGATCTTTGATGTTTCTGCAACTCTATAAAATGTAAAATTATAATAATATTTAATGGGAGCCGGGCACTAGTGGCTCACGCCTGTAATCCTAGCTACTTAGGAGGTTGAGATCTGAGGATCTCGGTTCAAAGCCAGCCCAGGCAGGAAAGTCCATGAGACTCTTATTTCCAATAAACCACTGAAAACCGGAAGTGACGCTGTGGCTCAAGCAGTAGAATGCTCACCTTGAGCTGAAGAGCGCATGGACAGTGCCCAGGCCCAGAGTTCAAGCCCCACAATGGACAAAAAAAAAAGAAGAGGTTAAACCTGGAGGCTCTGAAATAATCTTCCTGTTTTGAAAGCTGGCTTTACCACTTTCTCGGTATATGATCACAAAATCCAAAATCACAAAATTTTTACATGCTTCAGTTTCCTTGTATGTGAAATTAGGATAATAATAGTAACTGCCTCAAAAGGTAGCAGAAAGATTGAGGTGATATACACAAGACATTTAGAATGGTACCTCGTATGTGGAAATTAATTAACAAATATAAAATATGTGTACTGTAGTTAATTTATAGTGGGTAATAACAATGATAGTCCACATGTGGAAATTAGGAAAGTAAGGGTGTTTTTTGTTTGTTGTTTTGGAGTTTTTTGTGCTAGTACTGGAGCTTGAACTTAGGGTATTGAGCTCTCACTCAGCTTTTTTTGCTTATGGCTAATTCTCTACCATCAGAAATGTCTCCTTCCCAGTATGGCTTTTTACTGATTAATTGGAGATAAAATATCTTGGATTTGTCTGCCCAGGCTGGCTTTGAACCTCAGTCCTCAGATCTCAGCCTCCTGACTAGCTAAGATTATAGATACAAGTACCCAGTTCAGGAAAATGTTTTAAATTCCATCTGTTTATTTACTTAAAAATATGTATTGAACTTTTCTTTTTTTTTTTTTTTGTCGGTCGTGGGGCTTGAACTCTGGGCCTGGGCGTTGTCCCTCAGCTCTTCAACTCAAGGCGAGCGCTCTACCACTTGAGCTACAGCGCCACTTCCTAACTTTTCCTACATTCTATTATAGTAGATTTCACCAAAAAAAAAATAAATAAATTTCTAAGATATACACCAAAAAAAACAGTATAGTAAAATCTTCAGGTCAAGAGAGTCTAAAGAGATAAGATTCAGTGAAGAGTCAGCAAACATAGAAGAGAAGAGAGAGTTGGGCAGAGGGAACAGTTTACAAAAAGATGCTATTGCCATAATGAGTGTGATACTTTAATTACCAAAGGTACTATGGATAAAGAATGCTGAGTACAGGGGATGGTGTGAGATGAAAACAGATTGATAAACAAGCTAGATCATGTAAAATTTTATAATTGGACTGACCCATGTATTTGAGTATTGGGTTTTAAGCATGGAGAGTCACAGTTTACAGATGTTTTCAAGAAAATGCTGTTGCTGTGGTATGCACAGAAAGTAAGGAGACATTTAGGAATACTCTAAGAATAGTGGACGTATTCAGGATGGCTCAGAACTCTACAGAATTGACAAGACTTGCTCATGGATAGGTGGGCTGTGATGAGATAGGAAAGAGAAATGGAGGATGACAAGTATATTTAGGCTTGGGCAACTGGGTAATACCTACTAAACATTTAAGTAGAAATATAAAGTAAGCTATTGACTTGCATACCTGAAAAGCCACGCTGAGACTAGAGATATTGGATTCATTAATACTCAGATTATATATAAAACCCTCAGTACCAGATGGAGAAGAGAGCCCATGACAGTATTTAGATTTGTGGTCTAGTACAAAGGAGCCAGTGAAAAGAGAAGAAACACCAGTAAGGCAGAAAGAAAACCAGAAAAGCATGTGTCACAGAAGCCCAGAGACAATAGCAATTCAGGGGGAAAAAAAATAAAGGAAAAAAAAAAAAAAAACATCAGATCACTATATCACATATTGCTGAGCACCCAAGGAAGAAAAGCAGAAACTTAACCACAACATTTGGCAGCATAGATTCAAAAGAGAAAGTGCAGGGAGCCTGAGTTGAGCCTGCTCTTGGGAAATGGTAGTGAGGAATCAGATACCTGTAACAGCTCAAGATGTTTGCTTTTCATGAAAGCAGAGGGAAATTGAAGCAGTAGCTAGAAAAGGACATGAGGCCAGGAAATACTAGAAAAGGTTTGTGTGCAGATGGGGATGTGTTCAGAACAGGGAGAAATACATACACAGGAAAAAGGAAAGAAGGGGCTGAGAAAGTGGCTCAGTGGTAGAGTGCTTGCCTTGCATGCATGAGGCCCTGGGTTTGATTCCTCAGCACTACATAAGCAGAAAAAGCCAGAAGTGGTGCTGTGGCTCAAGTGGTAGAGTGCTAGCCTTGAGCTGAAGAGCTGAGGGACAGCGCCCAGGCCCCATGACCGGCCAAAAAAAAAAAGAAAATGTGACACACACACACACACACACACACACACACACACACACACACACACACACACACACACACACACACACACACACACACACACACACACACACACGAATTCTATGCCTCCATCAGAAAGAATAACATTGCCCCATTTGTTAGGAAATGGAAAGACTTGGAAAAAATTATATTAAGTGAAGTAAGCCAGGCCCAAAGAAACATAGGTCCCTTGGTTTCCCTTATTTGCAATAACTAGTATATGTCTGAGTCAAGCAGAAAAGGTCAGATAAGTTGATGTTAGGGGAATGAACCCCAAGATAAGTATTCAAAAGGAAAGTATTATAGTAAGAACATCCTAAAGATCACAAGAGATGGAAAGACTAAAAGGTGAGAAGGAGCCAGCATTTTTCAAGAACTGGGTATAATGCATTCCAGGCAGTAGGAATAGAATATTCAAAGACTAAAGCAAAAAAGAGGCAACTGCAGTATAGAACTGGTGAGCCAAGGTGATAGAAGGATCATGGGGAGAGAGAAGCTTTCTAAGAAATAACTGTGGCTGATGTATGCTGAATAAATTAGAAAGGAAATGGAAAACAACATAGCTCCCTATTATACTAAACTAGAACATTGCTTGGGTTAGGCATACAGCAGTAAAGATGAGAACTGATGGATTTTATCTTGTTCTTTACTTGATATAGTACAAAAGAGTCAAGCCTTTGCATGCTAGAACTTGTAAATGCTAGTTAAGCCAGCTACCACTAAGCTATATCCCTTCTGGGATTTGAAAGATACTTTGGATGTAGAACCAACTGGACTTGGTCATGATAGAAAAAGAGATGAAGCTATTCCCAGGATTCCAGATTTAATAACGGAGGGGGTTGAGGTAGGAAAGAGAAGTTCAAGATGTCTTTAAGACCTACATAATACATATGAATCAGAAGCTCAGAACTGATGGTGAGGCTAAGGGATAATAGATTCATGAATCAAAAAGTATATTTTATATACTTTATTTTTAAATATTTACATATGTCTTACATTTTTTGTATTTTAAATATATTATTTAAAGTCAATGGGATAGATGAGGCAGTGTGGGGATAGTCACTTAGAAGCCTTATGCTGAGCCCTGGGATTGCTGCAACACTTAGGATAATGCTAAAGTTAACAGAAAAAGAGGCTGAGAAGGTTGAGTCCAAAGACCAATGGAAACTGAGGAGAACATACTGTCATGGAACCTAAGAAGAAAGAGAGAGAGACATCAAGAATGGAGTAAATTTGGGCTGGGAAGGTGGCTCAATGTTAGAGTGCTTGCCTTGCCTGCATGAGGCCCTGAGTTCAATTCCTCAACACCACATAAGCACAAAAAAGCCAGAAGTGGCACTGTGGCTCAAGTGGTAGAGTGCTAGCCTTGAAGTGAAAACTGAGGGACAGCACCCAGGCCCAGAGTTTAAGCCCCACAACCAACAAAGAAACAAAGGAAGGAAGGGATGGGAAGGGAAAAAGAAAAAGAATGGAGTAAATTTACTAGCTCAAGTACCATGTAGATATGTTATCATAACAATAAATGTGAAACCCCTGTAAGGAAAATGTTTAAAAGACTCCTGCAAAGCACAAAAGTAGACTTTGAGCAAATGGGAAAATATTACTTGCTCTTGGATAGGACAATCCTCTATATTTGTGATAAATGTTCAGAGTGTAGTGTTAGGTAATATCCAGCCCTAAGGTGACAAGGCAAGAAGATTATGGATACATGCATCAAACTAGCTTCACAAACTAAGGAAATTCAGACGTCAACATGACTACCAACGCTATTATCAATTGTCGTCTTCCTTGCCATCTGGATCCTAGTTCCAGGCAAGCTCAGGAAAAAACTTAGTAAGACACCATCTCAACAAGCTGGGGTGGTGATGCATATCTGCAATCCCAGCTACACAGAAAGTTGGATGATCTCCGTCTAAGACTGGCCCCTTGAGCAAAGCAAGAAACCCCTATTTGAAAAAGAACTAAACCAAATGGTTATATAAGAGGGTCAAAACTGAATCCTCTAAAGACATGTATATAGACAGCCAACACACAATACATGCATGCATACATTCATGTATATGTACATACATGTATGCACACACATACATAGTTGGAATAACTAAACAAAAAAAAAAGACTAGGTTGTGGTTTAAATCATAGAGTGCCTGCCTAGTGTTAGGTCCTAAATTCAAACCATAGTATTGCTCCCTCTCCCCAACAAAAAGGGAGATGGGGAATAAGGAAAAGGGTAGATGGGGTGAATATAACCCAAGTATATACACTGTATGCTTGAAAATGTCACAAGCCCATTTTATAGAATATATGCTAGTCAAAGTATTTTTGAAAAGTAAAAATGAAAACATACTAGAAGCAAATAAGTAAATTACATCCTCAGTGTAGAAAGGCTTTCTCACAATGACTTAAAAATTCCAATGCAATATTTTTAAAGTACTTAATTTGACTACAACTGTTCAATAACTCTGCTTGTGGAGGAGGAAAAACCCACTGAGATAGGCAGGTTGCTAAGGTGGCCCAAGTACCCACCTCCTCATGCCCTGTATAATCCCACTAAGTGTGGCCTGGACATAGTAATGGCTTCTAACAAAGTAGAATATGGTTTGATATTATGATGGTAACTTCTGTCTTTGTGGCTCTCACAAACCAAGCTGCCATTTGTTAAGATTCCTTGAAGGATCCACAGAGTAAGAAGTTGTATGTATGTGAAAAGGCAATTAATTCTGTGTATGGACCTTACGTGCAGTAACACTGCTTAATTATCTTTTATAACAATTTATCCAAAGATCTGATTGCTGCCCTTTAAGATAGTCATGTTATTTATAAATATGTCAGATTTGTTCTTTCCTCACCCACTTTCCACTGATACTCTCACTGTATTAAGAGAAAACTTCCCAGCCTTGGAAAGTAGTATGGAGTTTCCTCAAAAGACTCCACATAGAGCAATCCCACTTTTGGGCATTTATCCAAATGCTCACAAACAAAACCACACTAAAGCTACCAGCATGACTATTTTTATTGCAGCCTTATTTACCATAGCTAAAATATGGAACCAACCCAGATGCCCCTCAGTAGATGAATGGATCAAGAAAATGTGGTATATATACACAATGGAATTCTATGCCTCCATCAGAAAGAATGACATTGCCCCATTTGTTAGGAAATGGAAAGACTTGGAAAAAATTATATTAAGTGAAGTAAACCAGGCCCAAAGAAACATAGGTCCCATGGTTTCCCTTATTTGCAATTACTAGTATATGTCTGACACAAGCAGAAAAGGTCAGATAAGTTGATGTTAGGGAAATGAACCCTAAGATATGTATTCAAATGTTTTTTCTTTCATGCGATTGTTTCTAACACATTTATATAAGATTATTTCTTTGTTGTTTTGTATGTCCCTCCCCCACGGTATAACCCCTGCTTTCACTGTATTTGATGTTGTTATAATTTGTGGAGGGGAAGGGAAAAAACAAATCATTTAAATAGGGATACAGGTGGACCCATTGCAACAATGAAATGTACAAGTCGTTATGTTGAAAAGGAACTTTACAACTTTGGTGGGGGGGGTGGCGGTTGTGGGGGGAGAGGATGGGATGGGAAGGGGAAACAGAGGAGGAGGCTACAATACTTGATAAGAAATGTACTCATGGGCTGGGAAGGTGGCTCAGTGGTAGAGTGCTTGCCTTGCATGCATGAGGCCCTGGGCTCGATTCCTCAGCACCACATAAGCAAAAAGAAAAAAGCCAGAAGTGGCGTTGTAGCTCAAGTGGTAGAGCGCTAGCCTTGAGCTGAAGAGCTGAGGGACAGCGCCCAGGCCCAGAGTTCAGGCCCCACGACCAGACCCAAAAAAAAAAAAAGAAAGAAAAAGAAATGTACTCATTATCTTGCCCATGTAATTGTAACCCCTCTGTACAGTATTTTCACAATAAAAATTAATTAAAAATAAAAATAAAAAAGAGAAAGCTTCCCAGGTCATTCAATTACAAATGACCATTGCTGTAAAATGTTAATAAGCTATAATTTTTGGAAGACTTTTGGGGGGGAGGTATCCTTTATCAGGCTAATGAAATTCGCTTCTGTTAGCAGTTTTCTAACGTGGTTTTGCTTTGCCAAGCTAAAGGAGCTTTACCCCAGATCACTTAATACTGTATCTTACTTTTTTTTTTTTTTGGTTGGTCATAGAGCTTGAACTCTGGGCCTGGGCACTGTCCCTCAGCTCTTCAGCTCAAGGCAAGCACTCTACCACTTGAGCCACAGCACCACTTCTGGTTTTCTGGTGGTTACTTGGAGTAAGAGTTGCATGGGCTTTCCTTACCTGGACTGGCTTTGAACCGCAATCCTCAGATCTTAGCCTCCTGAGTAGCTAGGATTATAGATGTGAGCCACCAGCACCCGGCTTACTTTTTTTTTTTTAGGAGGTTATGTTTTATTTTCTATGAGGCTTCTTCAGTTTTATTGAATATAGTTTTTCTCCCCTAATTTGTCCTGGGGTTTTTGTTGTTGTTGTTTTAGGTATAAGATGATCTCTGAGTTCACCTGGCCAAACCATGACCTTCCTTCAGACAAAGAGGCTGTCAAGAAACTGATAGAACGATGTGGTTTTCAGGATGATGTAGCTTATGGGAAGACCAAAATTTTCATCAGAACACCTCGCACACTGTTTACCTTGGAAGAACTCCGGGCCCAGATGCTTGTAAGGATTGTCCTCTTTCTACAAAAGGTAATTTTTGTTTTTTATATACAAGTATAAGTTCTTCCTTTTGTGTTTCTGAACTTTTCCTGAATTTTTTTTAATTTAAGAAATGTTCCTGTATGATGTATCTTATATATCTATGTATATAGTGTGGCCTTCATACATTCAAACTTGAGTGCCCAGTTTGAAATTATACTCAAAATTCTGAAAACATTTTGTCTTCTTTTTGTATGTGTGCTGGTCCTGGGTCTTGAACTCAGGGCCTGGGAACTGTCCTTGAGCCTCTCTGTGCTCAAGGCAAGTGCTCTCCCACTTGAATTACATCACCACACCAGCTTTTTCTGTTTATGTGGTACTGAGGAATCGAACCCAGGGCTTCATGCATGCTAGGTGAACACTCTACCACTAAGCCAAATTCCCAGCCCTCGTTTTGTCTTCTTATATTTAAAGTTGAAGACATATCTAGAGCATATGACCTTTTTTGTTTTTGTAGTTAGCTCTTTTTTCCCCCTTTCAACTGCTTACATTAAAAAATTATGCCAACATGTTTGTGACTGACTCCTAATCCATCATTACACCACCACCAACACTTAACTTCAGGTGTGGTTGCAAACTCCACATCTCATTAACTTGCACCTGCCATCATGGAGCTGTTCAAGTCCCCCTTCCCATGTCATTCATGAGTTCATTCAGTCCCTATGCCTGTCCTCATAGCTTCCATGTAAACCTTGCAAAAAAATCACACATGCACATTTTAAAATCATATATCTTTGTCTGGATTCCTTGGGATAAATACCTAAGAGTAAAGTTACTGGGTGATAGCAAAACCTGTATACCTAATTGGTATAAGTAGTACCAGATTCCTCTTTAGAATGCATGTCACCTTGCACAACCACCAGCTGGATAGGAAGGAGACTGTACCCCACATTCTATCAGTACTGCTGTTAACGTCTTATCAGACTAATAAGTTTAAAGGTATGTCATTATTGTTTTATTTGCAATTCCCCTGATCAGTATTGAATTTGAGCATTTCATAATACTTGCTTGCTTTTGGGGTTTTCTGGTAAACTGCCTATTCATATTTTTATTCATTTTTCTACTAGACTTAGAATTTTCTTATTAGAAATGCTTGACTATTCTAACCAATAATTTTTTATTCATATTATAAATTTGTTCTAGTCCATATGTGTTTTTTTTTGTCAGTCGTGGGGCTTGAACTCTGGGCCTGGACACTGTTCCCCAGCTCTTCAGCTCAAGGCTAGTGCTTTACCACTTGAGCCACTGTGCCACTTCTGGTCTTCTGAGTGGTTTATTGGAGATAAGAGTCTCATGGACTTTCTTGCCTGGGCTGGCTTTGAACCGTGAACCTCAGATCTCAGCCTCCTGAGTAGCTAGGATTACAGGCATGAGCCACTGGCACCTGGCTCTATATGCATTTTTATGAACTATATGTGTAATATGCCCTGTTGAACAAAATCCTTAATTTTGTCATAATCGTTTTTTCCCTTATACTTTGTGCATTGGAATTTTAAGAAGTTCCCTTGTTTATAGGTCATAAAACTATCCTCCTGTATTTTCTTCTATGAACTAACATTGTGCCTCTTGCATTTAGATCTTTAATTCATTTAGAATCCACCTGTAAGTGGTTTTATATAAGGATTTATATAGGATTTCCCCCATATAACTAGTCTTCTCACACCATCTATTGGAAAGTCTGTTCTTTTTCCCACGGATTGTTAGTGTCACTCTTGTCATATGTTTTGTGTCTTTTGCCTGTCTCTGGGAGCTTTGTTCCATTTTTCTGTTTGCCTAATTTTATACTAATGCCACGCAGTTTTAAATTGTATTTTGCCCTAGCATAAGGTAGGATAATCTATCTTCTCTCCTTTATTAAGATGGGTTATGGTATACATAGACCTTTATTAAGAGTATAAAAAGGTTCATTTAAATCTTCATTGACCGGGCTGGGAAGGTGGCTCAGTGGTAGAGCACTTGCATGCCTGAGGCCCTGGGTTCAATTCCTCAGCACCACATAAGCAAAAATGAAAAAGCTGGAAGTGGCGCTGTGGCTCAAGTGGTAGAGTGCTAGCCTTGAGCTGAAGACCTGAGGAACAGCACTCAGGCCCAGAGTTCATGACCGGACCCCCCCCAAAAAAAATCTTCATTGACCTAAAAACATAGAGGCTTTATTAATTCGTGGTTAATTCCTAAATATTTTACTGTTTTATTGCTAGTATGATTTCACTATATTTTCTTTTTTTCTTTGTGTGTGTGTGTGTGTGTGTGTGTGTGTGTATGTGTGTGTGTGTGTCATGGGGCTTGAACTCTGGGCCTGCACACTGTCCCTGAGTTCTTCAGCTCAAGGCTAGCGCTCTACCACTTGAGCCACAGTGCCACTTCTGATTTTTTCTGCTTATGTGGTGCTGAGGAATCAAACCCAGGACCTCATGCATGCGAGGCAAGCACTCTACCACTCAGCTACCTTCCCAGCCCCTTCACTATATTTTCTACATGGCACTGTTGGCACAGATAAATAGTACTTGTTTCTGCTGACTTTTCTATGACAGAATGAAACTCTCTTCACATTTGTTGACATTAGTTTTCCTAGGTAAGTGATTATAGAATGTACAACCAATAAAAGTTATCTCTGCACTTCAAATTGCCAAGATCTTTCTTAGTGTTGGTTTCTTTCTACTTATTTTGCCTAACTCTGAACAAGTTTTAAACTAAAATACTAAATTATATCTCATTCTCAGTTTTCATACACTAATTGCCTTTGTTTGGTTCTATTTGAATTCTCAAAAAATGCTTTTAAGTCAGATCTCTGCCTGCCATAGTAAATTGTTTTCATACATCTGTTCTCCATTATCAAGTCTTTTACCTCAGTGTTCACCACTTAACCTGTGATGGTATTGTTGTTGTTTTTACGGCCTGTTTAAGATATTCTTTCTTTCTACCTATCCAAGAAATTGATTCAAGCTCAGAGTTAGTTCCTGAACCAGCATATCTTCCCTCAGTTTGTTCAAGGATAAGCTGCTATGGTTGCCTGCCATAGCTATTAATCATACCCCAGGTACTCTCAAGAGAATGCCTGCATGGATTATAAACTGCAGTCATCCTCCTCTGAAGTAACTGTCTACTTGGTAACTGGTAGAAACTCTAATTATCTGCAATGCAGTGGATGGAAGCTTTCCCATCTTTTCTGTAAGCTAGGTCTCAAATTTCAGAGCCAGAAGGCAATGGACTATGGAATAAAGGTCTCCCTTCCTTTTAACTCTCCTAAGTTATGATATATGGGATCTACTGATTGAGGGGTTTTTTTTGTTTGTTTGTTTGTTTTTTTCCGGTCGTGGGGCCTGAACTCTGGGCCTGAGTGCTGTCCCTCAGCTCTTCAGCTCAAGGCTAGTGCTCTACCACTTGAGCCACAGCGCCACTTCCGGCTTTTTTCTTATGTGGTGCTGAGGTACCCAGGGCCTCAGGTATGCAAGGCAAGCGCTCTACCACTGAGCCAACTTCCCAGCCCAGAGGGGTTTTTTTAGATCAACTCCACTGGCCTTGATACTTATGAAAAATTCTCCAAGCCTTATGGAGTTTTATCATAAGTCTCCTAAATTTCAATGTCAAGAGTGTTGTCATTTTTTGGATATACTTACAGGAAGTTAGTAGGACATTAAGAAAATATTCACAACTGCTGTTTTTAAATAGAATCACCATCAGTTGGCTTATATTTCCTTTTTTAATTAACATAGCTTTATCTGTAGATACAGACTATACATACAATATAAGATTATAATATGTAAATTGATTATTCTTATCATTATCTAATATTTATTCATTAATCCCAGATGATGGAAACTGTCTCTTCTCATGGTCAGGGCCAGCTGAGACACATGAGAGAGATGCACACTACATTCATCCAAGTGCAATTCATACTATGACCAGTGGTTTCTGGCATTGTGACATTCCTCCCAGTTGATTTGGGATTCTGCCAAAATATATCTCAGAAACTTGTTATGTCACAATAATTAATAATGAATTTTTGCCGGTCCTGAGGCTTGAACACAGAGTATGCTTACTATCTCTGAGCTTTTGTGCTCAAGGTTAACACTCTTCCACTTGAGCCAGAGCTCCACCTTTAACTTTTTATGGCTAATTGGAGATAAAAGTCTCACAGACATTCCTGCCTGGGCTAGCTTCAAACCAAACTTGTCAAATCTCAGTCTCTTGAGTAGTTAGGATCACAGACATGAGCTGCCAGCACCCAGCTAATAATATAATTAAGTAGTATGATATTTTTTGCGACATTCAAAGGTGGCTCATGTATCTCAAGATCTGAGAATAATTATTTTCTAAATTATCCACAAGAAAAAGTGTGAATATAGTAATTTCTAAAAATTGGATCTCATTGGCTGTATTATTTATCCCATGCCCTAATGTATTGTTTATTATGCAGCTTTGTCTAGTGGAGACATGAAGCCACAGGGGCCTTTACATCATTTTCAAACAAAGCACACTAGCTTTTTTGTAAAAACCAATCAAGTGTTTTATTTCTTGGACTAAAAGCAAAATAATTATTTTTATATAATATTGATTACAAAATAACAAAAGACCTTATCAAAATGATAGCTAATATTTACTGATTGATAGGCATACTTCTAGTTACATTATAGCTATGAGCTAATCCTTTTTGTTTAGTTTTTGTATTTTAGTGGTGGTGGTGGTAGTGGTGGTGGTGGTATTGGGATTTAAAGTTAGGACTTTGCAGCTTCCAGACAAGAGTGATACCACCAGAACCATGCCCCAGTCTTTAATCAAATCTTTTCAAGAACCTTTTGAATGAGTATCTATTATTATTTGCACTTAGCAAATGAGGGAACTAACGTCACTGAATGGTTAGACTACTTGATGGAGGTCACACAGATAATGAATGCCAGTGCTGGAATTAGGGTTTGAACACAGTAACCCAGTAGTCCTGCCTCCCACACACACCCTTGACCACTATGTGCTTAACACCATGTGACAACATT